AAAATGAAACATGAATGAAGAGATTAGGATACAAGGAAAGAAAAAAGAAGAAATGATTAATATTAGGTCTCAAATAAGGAAACAAAGAATCTACAAAAGAAGGAAAGGGAAAAGAACGAGGAAAGAGGCACAAGAGCTGAGGGGAGAAAGGAAAAGAAAGGACACAAGGAAGGAGTGACCAACAATGAAGGGATTAGGATACAAGCAAGGAGAGAAAAGAAGAAATTATGGATAACAGGATTGACATATGGAAGAAAGACCTGAATAAGGAAGTAGTAAAGGGCAGAAAGAAGGGTGCTGAGTGGAGAAAGGAAAGATGGAAGGAAACAATGTAGGATGGAAAAGAAAAAGAAATACCAAATGGAAGAGATAGAGAGTTACAAGGAAGGAAGAAAATAAAGGAAAATAAAGGAATCGACAGAGAAGGAAGTGAAGAAAGATAGGAAGGAAAGGAAAGTATGGGGAGAAAAAGTTCTGCACAACCTACATTAGCTTCCCGTAACAGGAAGTTTGTTTCCACCTGCCTGGGATTTGATAACGGAGAAAAATCTCACAGAGGAGACCAGTACCAAACACCAGGGGGGCTGAACCAATGAGAGCTATCCTCCTTTTCCTCCTCTGAGCTCTGCTATGGGAGGCGCCGGCTTTGGAAATGATGGCAGCCTATTAGAAATCTGAGAGAAAAATCTCTGCTTTCTCTGTGATCCATACAGATGCTGATGATAACAGTTTGAAATGTTTATATAACTGAAATTGTATTTCTCTCATGTATACCAAGGTGGTGTATTCTTTTTATTTCACCATTTTCCTACCAGGCAGATAACCATTTATTACTCTCACTGATGAAATCTAACCTTTTATGTTTAGTATTAGAGCATGACTGCTTCTTTACGAGCGTTTAAAACTGATATCACCAGCAAACCACTTTACATGACATCAGGGCTTTGTTATGATGCCTCCGTTTATGTAGAGCCAGAGCAAGGAAAATGGTAGGAGTTCAGAATCAGTCCTCGTCGATTCAAAAAAAAACATTACAGTGAAGGGAGGAGGCGGCATTCTGGTCTAATTTATTAGCCTCAAATCCACTGATCTTCCTCATCCACTCTTTGCATCTCATTTTAACAATTTGAAATACTCAAAATAAAAGCTGCATAACAGATCATCCGATACGTGGAGACATTGAGGGGCTGCGACATTGTGAGGATAGAAAGGAAAAGAGCACAGTGAGGAGAATGTGGGTTAACCACAGCCATCACAGAAATACAACAGACGTATGTTCTGCTCAGCTCTACTGTGATGAGACACTGAAACACAATGAAGCTACTGCACAGAATGACAGAATACCTGCAGAGCTGAATGCAGCAACGTTTTCACACTTTTTGTAGATAGTCTTTTTTTATTTTATTTTGTAGAAAAAATCAGTTTTGTTTCATGATTTATAGGGGTTTGCTGCATTCTAGTCTGCACCACACATACAAGCCTACCTTAACACGTGTTAAAGCACGGGGAATCAGCGAGCGCTGATCCCATACGACTTGTTAAAGGAGTGTCCCATTCCCAAAATAAGTCCCAAGAGAAAGAGGGAGGAGAAGCCCCGGGTAAGAGGACTCAGCCCAAGAAGAGCTCCTCAAACAGGACGCCCGGGTGTGGAAATAAAAACCAGCAAACATTTATAGTTACTGCTGTACACACAACATGGAGTTACTCCAGATTGAGCCATCGCTTAGCAACACCACCAGGGTCTTATTGTAATTCAAAGCCTGCTTGTAGCTCTCCGCAGCACTCTGGAATGACAAGTTGAACACAGAAAGAGTAGAAAGAAGAGAGCGGAGAAAGTAAAGGGGGGCTGAGGTGGGACGAGGAGCACCTCCACAAAGGCTTCCTTAGAATGGAGGGAAGGGTGGAGACCCGGCCCATGAAAAGAGCAAGAGACAGAGGGAGAGGTGCTGAATGGCGCAAGGACAGAAGGAACTCAAAGGCACGCTGAGCGGAGACCAAAACGAGACAAAGACAAGACACCGAGCAGGAACCTTATAGCTGCGTGACCTTGGGGTCCAAGAATAGCACGCATCGCTGCCATGCAGCAGGAGGGACGACGGGTTCGCACAAACGGCTCAGGAGATGAGCCAGGCTCCAGAATCTACCAAACCTTAATTGAAATCAGCCGAATAGAAACCGTAGATCTTAACTTATTCTAACTGAAAAAAACTAACAGGTTGTACAGACAAAATGATCAATGCTAAAGTTGTAACCAAGTCTAAACCATCCAAAGATGGACGTCAGTATCAGTGAGGTATTTTAAAATGAAGCAGAGAAATAAAAGGAGTCTTTCCACAGAAATCTAAAATTCTGCTGTTCGTTCAGGCTGCAGAGAGCAAAAGGGAGCACGAACTTCTGCAGATAACAGGAAGGCTGAATGGATAACAGTAAAAGTCAATCTTTCTGTTATGGACTAAGTTGGATTTGGAAAATGTTGGCAGCATTTTGGAAATATCAGAGTTAGGGTAAGGATATATATCCTCTATACCCTAGCAAGCAGAGGCAGGTAGTTACTAATTATATTTATTTAAGTTACTTTTTGTTATTTAAAAAGCTACTCTGGGTACCTCTTTCTTTTGTTAGTGTAAATATATTAAATTAGTGCTATTCTCACTTAAATACTATGCAACCTCTCTAGAAAGTTAACTTAATCCCATGGTATTCTCAAAAAGCAAATAGGGGAATTTTCTGAGTCTGGTTCAGGGAATGAGGAGGATCTACACTGAGCTGGAAAGCAGAAGCCGGCAGGAAGACGTCTGATGACAAACCGTTTCATTCCAATAAAATTATATGTCCAACCAATTCCTTGAATTTTAACATCCTAAAATAAGGTTCTGCAAAATGTTTTAACATGAGTTGGTCTCAGTTTAGCCTGCCAGCGGATCGGTAGTTAGACAAAGCACCACACAGTTTAAAGCAGGATCAGCAAACCGGTTAAAGATGAATGAAGGGCGTTACCTTTAATGGCGGGCTGCAGCAGCGGCCTCTGTGAGTCTGAGCCTCCGCTGGTCTGTTTACTGCTACTTCCACTGTCTCTCTGCCGGGCCACAGCCACGGCAATCCCCACAGGAGGATGTCGCACCTCGCCCTCTCCTTCTCTGCCGAAGGAGCGGGCGCTGTCCGGCCGCTCCTGTTCCCTCTTCAGCTGAGGAGGGACCCTCATGGCTCCTCTGTCCTTGTCCCGATCCCTCTCTCTGTCCTTTTCCCTTTCGCCACCCGATGCGATGTTACCCAGACCGCCGAAAGGCCCCCGCCCGTCGATGATGTGCCTAGAGGAGGCAGGCCCTTCGGCGGCAAAGTTGCCGCTGTATTTGATCAAACTCTGCATGGCAGAAACCTCAGAATGATCAGGATGTTCTGCAGCGCTGGATGATCCAACCAACCCCGGGCGATAGAGTCCCGACTGGTCCAGGTAGCGCCTCTGACTCCCCTCCTCTGCCGTGCACCCGTGTCCGTGTGTTTGTGGGGAGTGACTGTGGGAGGACTGTGAGCTGTTGGGCCGATGCGATATCTGAGGGGAACTGGACTTCTGTGTTTGTGGCGGCTGGCTGTGAGGAGTGGAGAGATTGTGTCCGTGCTGAGCTGCCAGAGCAGCCATGTGATTGGTGGCGTAGTTGGCCGAGGGGCTCATGGCGCTCCACTTCGGCTCTGCCCCGATCCGGTCATTGCCGGCTCTGAGGGAGTGTTTAGAGAGGTCTCTGGTTTCTGGGCTGAAGCGCGATTGACTTGAGGAGAAAGACGTATCCTGACTTCGTTTACCAAGAGAACCATTGGAACAAATGACAGAACCTTCTTCCCTCTGATTGCTCACATCGCTAGACTGGGAGAGCCGTGGATGAGACTCCATGAGGCTTTTCTCATGAAACCTGTAGCTCTCCCTCTCCCTGTGTCCGTCTCGTTCCAGCTCTCTGTCTCGGTCCCTTTCTCTGTCTCTGTGTTTGTTGTCGCGGGCCTGAGAGGCTATCTGGATGGGCCCTACCCGCTCGTCGTAAACCTCCACAGAAGGCACATATGTTGGCGCACTGACTCGCTGCTCTCTGGGTGTGGAAATGTGAGGAAGGCCAGTGCCGGACTGCTGCAGAGGAGGAGGGAGGACGTAGGAGATGTGCAGGGTCCCGGCTGATGTGGCCATAGACTCGTTCCTTCTCTGTCGCTCTGAGTGAGAGTTGGAGTTATTGGCGTTAGAGTTCTGGCTGTGGTGGGATCGAGAACCGCCTTCCTCTTCCCGACCCCGTCTGTCTTTTTCTGATCCATGAAGCCTGCCCTCGCCTCCCCCAGGAGGGAACGAGGGCTGTGGAGGCGACAGTCTGGATCTGGACTCCACCGCTGACTTGTGCTGGTGAGGATGGAAGGACCAACTGTCCCTGTCTCTGTCCGCATCATGGTCCTTGTCTTTGTCTCGATCCCGATCTCTGCTCACTCTGCGGTCGTCCTCGCCTCGCCCTTCCAGAGTCAGATCTACCACGCTGTGCGGCCGTGTGTCTTCACGCAGCCTCTCTCTCTCCCTGTCCCGCTCCCTCTCTGTCCGATAGGTCCGGTCTCTGCCCCCATCCCGGGATGTCCTCTGAGGAGGCGTGGAGCGGGACGGGGTGGCGGACGGAGGGGGAAGAGGCGACTGGCTCAGCGATGACGACATGAAGTATCCATCTGGACAAACACATTAGGGTTAATATCTAATATTGAAAGATACTAGATGAAAATATAATGTGGTAAACCAACAGAAAGTTGTACATAATTACAGTTTGGAAGGGAAAAAATGTTCTACGAATACAGAAGGAGCATTGGTATTTTTATTCAGCTTACTTCCTGAATATATCGATGCTCCAGATATATTCCAGGATGGCATTGCCAGTGCAGAAAGGATTGACGGAGGATGTAACCCTAATTTAGAGATATTGGTCTCAGTGATACTGGCACTAAATGATGACTGACCTTTGTGAGGGTCATAGAGAGGATGCTGGGGGAGTGAGGAGGTCTCCAGGCGACTCAGGGACAGGTAAGGACTTGAGTACAGGCTGCTTGGAAGCGGAGGGTAGCCTGGAAGGACAAAAAAGTTTATAGAAAATATTAATTCACTTATTATTTCATTTTTCTGGTTTTTCGTGAAGTTTTATCCATTTAAAACAGACAAACTATAGAAGATAAGATGAGATAACTTGCTGGGTAAGTGATAAACACTATGATGAGAAATCGTAGCCATTTTTGTACCATGATAAGTCAATTCAAATGTTACGTTTTTTTGTTACCATCGGAACAGAAGAGGTTTCTTTTAATCAACTTTTTATAACTGTTTATCCGTCTTTTGTATTTACTTGGCACTAAAAATCCAAAAGCGAATAACCCCGTTAAGAACTGTGAGCAAATAGCTCACAGTTGTGAGCTAATAGTGCAATCTGGAGATATCGATCTACCGTATTTTCACGACCATAAGGCGGACCGGACTAAAAGGCGCACTCTCAGTTATGTGTCC